CCCCTTTAAGCATTGGATAGATCCTAGAATCATGAGGGGAAAAAGGAGAAAAAAAAATATTCTTTCATTATGATTTTATTGAGAAGCAAGAAGAGCATGCAGCTTAGGTACAGAGATTCATATATCACTTAAAAGATATTAAAGAAATAAAAATTCCAGGTAGACTCCAGAAGACTCAAGTGATATGAATCCAGTGACAGGACATGGGTCACTGGAAAAAAGGCATGTTCATCCTATTTGGTTTTTGTTCTGTGGTTATAACAAAATCTATACTTAGTGGAGGGTCCAGACAGGCTTCGGGGAAGACTGAAAATGTTGAGTGCTGTAACTGCATAATATGTGATACATATGAAAGTGGTCCTTAGTTCGTGTTAGAAATGGGTACCTCTAACTTACTGCAAAAAAAGTTTAGGCTCTTGCCTGTTCTGCCTAATGCTATTTTCATCCTAAGATGAGAATGTTGTTATCAGATGTTCTCTGCTTGCAGCTGTATGTATAAGAAGAAAAAAGTGGACTAAGTGTGCATTTAGAGATAAAATTACCACTAGAGGATCTAGTGACTTCTTGAAAATAGTGAATTATAACGAGGAATAGCATCAGAACCACCACGTGGGGATTATTTCCTTCAGAATCATTGTAGCATGCAAGCAGCTCGCTTGGCTTGAATAGCTTTGGTAGTCTGTAGCTTTCACAAAATTGCTTTGTTGCTAATCATATTCTAAATAATTTTTCACGGTAAAATCAGCACAAGCAATGGTCACGTGGTCTTCATTAGTCAGTTTTGCTGAAACAGTGTAATCTCCCTGTATGAGACAAACACAAAGCAAGAGATTAGCCCATCAGTAGCATATAATGCTTTTGTTTCTATGAGGGATTCCTCTTCCTAGAAACAGAATAACACTTTTCCCATCAAGTTCCTCCGAAACCTTTTCCATTCAAATATTTCAGAGCTGGTAAAGGACTTGACCATATTTTCTGCCAAAGTACTCTCATCAGGGATATCAGTGCTGACAGCACAAGTTCAAAATTAAAACAGCACAAGGGGAACAAAATGTTTTGATGTGGAAAAAAAAAAAAGCACCTTCCAAATCTGTGTAACATCTCATGTTTCTTATGAGCAAGTACAACTATGGCCTGTGCTGTTTAGCAACTGGAAGGGGAAGAGGTGCTCAGTTGTCTGGCACTTCTCTTCCTTGGATCTTCTTGTTCAGTGTATACACTGTTATAGACATGAATTTTTACAAGAGAGCACCTTGGGGGATGTGTGTGTGTAGGTGACTCAACCTGTGACGATTTCCTATATAATAAAACAGAGGTAGTTTAATTTCAAATTGCATAGTTGAAACTACTAATAATTCAGGCTTTGGTGAGAACTTGTATCATTGCAGTGCAAAAACCCTCAACATTAAAGGAGCCATGGCTTTTTTTTATTGGTCAAAACTGTTCTCTTCAGACATCTGGAGTAGGAGAAGCACTGGGCAAGGGAGGTGACAAGGCTAACTTAACAGATTTGGAGAAAGAGGTGAACTAGATTTCATTCACTTGAGATTGCTGGCACTCCAGTATTTCTTTCTGTGTTTTTTTTTTTTTTTTTTCTGGAGTGTGGAGGGGAGCAAAACCTGGGGTAGGCGAGCTTGGCAGCAGTGACCTTCTGGCTTTGAACCATAGAAAGATCTTGCCCTGCTCAGAACTCTTCTGGTTGTGGAGTAGAAGGAGGCATAGCTAGAATGAGTCAGGTTTCTTGCCATTTGCTTTTTACCATGGTATTTTTAAAGCACTAACTGGCCTGCGTCCTCACAGAGAGGTTCAGTTTAAGTGTAACAACCAACTTTAGAGAGAGGCCCAATGGCAACATGTTCATGAGAATACAGCCTTGTTGTAATGGCTGTGCAGACTGTGCTAATGTCCTTTGGGCTGCTCAGATGAGGCTGTTCTTTGTAATGAGCAGAAGACAATTGCTGCATGGAATAACTCCTTATTGCTGGCATGGAAGGATGGTGTAATTTGCCTGACTGATTAATTAACAAAAAAGGCTTCCTGTTCCCTTTCTCACAAGTGTGTTAATTCTCCAAAAGCTCATAGTTTCATTCATGGAAGGGAGCTTATAACAACTTATTTCCACTGCTTGTTAGTGATTAGATTTTTTTTTCCTTCTCCAGAACAATTTTTTGCTCATGGGTAAAAATTGTTATTAAGAGAACTGTGAACAATCTTAGAATTTCTGGCTCCAAATTAAGCTAACTTGCCCAGAATTGGGGTTTACTGGCCTGTGTGGATGTTTCTAGGGCTTCCTCTTGAGCTAAAGACCTATTCCTCAGTTTGTCTAGAGCCTTTACTACGTAAGCATCCTCAGTGTGTTAGTAAATCTGCTCCTGGAGCAAGATGCTGGCTGATACAAGCTTGGGCATTCCAGTGTGAGACATCAAAAGGCATTGCCCAACACAGTATCTGTAGGTGTAGCCTTTAGGGAAGCAGGATGGTAAGGGTGGGATAACAGCATGCATAAGGGGGCGCAGCTCCCTGTGTGAAAGGCCTGGAAAATGAAAGTTGTGGTTGCTGCTATCACCAAGAGAAGACCGAGATGTATGAGATGGTAGCTGCTTTAAAGGCTTGATCCTCCCAGAAGCCAGATATCCTTGTTACTGCCTCCACAGGTCTTGGTAAGCCTGGCTTTCTGGGACTCATGCCCTTGTTCTTTATTTCTGTTCTGGTCCTGTTTTCTCACTTTTTTCTGCATCTGGACCAATCCAGTGCTGAGCAGGCCCCAGACCTAATCTTTGAGGCTCTGACACAGGTTTTACCTCTGCTGCTGAAGAACTGAGAGCTCATGCTGTGCTTCTGTGTGAGTAAATCTAAGGAGTGTTTGACTGACCACCTGAACTGTGTGCTTTTGCAGTGCTTTCTTCACCACATTCTCAACTAGATGCCTTGATGATACAGATCTTGCCTTCTCCCCATCAATCCAGTCTCTTTATGTATGTGGCTAAAAATCCTGTGTAATTTACTGGTCAAATATAGCTTCATGTTGTGCCCAGTTAAGAGATGCTGTGGTGCATTCAGCGTTTGAAACCTATCTTGCTTTGTCATGTGATTTGGTTGACCTTCTAGAAGGGAGACTTATCTGAGAGTGGAGAAGACTGCTTGTAAAGAGCATCTGTAATGGATGATCAAGAAATTTAGAGCAGTGCCTAGGGTACTGTCTGCTTTCTGGTCTTTCTAAGAAATTGTTTTCTTATTTTAAGGCTCCATAAGTCCAGAGAAAGCATTCTTGGCCTGGTAACTTGTACTTTCAGTTGTGACCTAGAAGACCTCTGTGTCTATGTACAGTGGAACACATACAATCGCAATAGTTATCTAAATTGCATTTACAGCCAGTGAGGATGAACAAGCTGCTCAAAATTGTTCAACCTTCTAACAAGTGAGCTGAATCGCAGCCTTGGTCTCAGTAGTCCCTTCGAGCTGTGTCTTTTGTTGCTATTTTAAGAGTAATAGAGGGGGAGCCTACTAAAGAACTATATAGCTGCATGATTTAGTGCTGGTAAGAGGGGGTCTGCTATCCTAAGAAAACCTGTCCATCTCTGGATAACAGTGTCTCTCTAACAAAAAGGATTAGTCATGTAAACATTATCAGATCTGGTGTGCCAGCTAGGGGAGCTTGGAATATACTGATCTGATTGCTGGCAGTCCTCTGACCATACCTCATCCAGAAAGCCCTTCTGCTTGGGAGCACCACTGTGACCAACTTACCTGTGGGATTTCTTTGATTCCCAGTGTGACTGGTCCCTCATAGTAGAGGTGTTCTGAAAAGTAAAAATGGTGGTGGGTGGTTAGACATGCAGCACATGAAGGAAACGAGCAGTTGATTGTAAACACTTTTTTGTAACAGCACTTCAAAGTGCTCCAGTGACAAGTATTATGGAACTGCAAAGTGCTCTATACAGTCTTGCAACAGACCTCCAGAGCAAAAAGCCAGGATGTGTACGGCCTTACGGGCGAAGTGGGGCAGAGCCTGGACTCAAGGAGGACCTGCAGCCCCTCTCTGAGTGGAGGAGGGGGGGCATGGCTTTGCACAACCAGGTGGGTGTTCCTATGTCAGCACGCATCCTGCAAATGGGGAAATGAAAGGGGAGAGGGATTGCCAGATACAAGTCTTCTAGCATGATCTATGAAAGACTTGCAGCTGCAATAGTTGAACTATACTGTTTTGGTAACATCAAGAAAAAACAATCTGAGCTGAGTGTTTCTGTAGGTGTGGACTTCTGACTGCTTGCTGAACATGGCCTTAAAGTAATAAGAACATGTCTATCTTACTGTTGAGGGAGCGTTCACCAAGAAGTTACATGATGTACTAAAGCCATCACAAGTTGTGTTGGTAACTGGAATAGAGCCCAGGAGTTCCACCTTTCAGTCCTCATCTCCCTAATTGCAAGACATGTTTGCCCTGTGCTGTTGAAGAAAGGGCAACTTTGGCATTAATGGACAGAATTAGCAAGCTGTTCTGCAGTTCCTCCTACTTTTTCGTAGCTTAGTGGGCCAAACTGTGCAGACTTGACTGAAAATAAAATTTGTAGATGTTTCAGTATTTCAGAATTTCTTGCACAACTTGCCCTCCACAAGTCATGGAAAAGTCTAAGAACTGTTTAAGGATTCTCTTTTGTAGGTGTCATGAAATAGTCTTTACTTTGACAGTGATAGAGGAGTAAGTGTTTCATCATATTTATATGAGCGTGTGCTGGCATCTTGATGCTTGTCACTTCTGGAGAGTTGTTTTAGTGCACTCCCACTGTGGTGGCTTAAACTTTCTCGTGGAAAATTGGATGAAAGGTTTGTAACATGTTTATGTCGTATGGTCCATCCCACTGTGCAGTAGGTATCTGACTTGGAAAAGACTCCACAGGAGGTCTTCTTCATGCATGCTATGAAATATTAGTCAATGCCTTGTAATAAACTTATATGAAAGAATTATAACTGTGAGAGAAACTAGGAAAATAATTCAAGAAACTTGAGACATCACCAATGTTCTACACCTTTGCATTAATGAGGAGTTTGTTAAATGTAATGCCCTGTGATCCTGGGAGGTGGAGAAGATGCAGAACTTCTTAGGGTTGCTCTGAAAAACATATTGGCAAAACAGAGACTAGAATAAGTATGTTTTTGGCTTGTGGCTCTCAAACTGCTTGACTATGCTGCAGCACTCATCCTGTACTCATTCCCCTCTACATACCTGGCTACTTGGGACCAGGGAAAGACCTGAACACCAAGTCTTTCCTTTTCAAAGAACAGTCACCATTGCTGCTTGTTTCTGTGCATGAAGCAAGAACCCTGGAGTCTGACACATCTCTGCTGCAGAAAGCAGTGACTCAAGAATTTTAAAAATACAGTACAGCCTACTTCTCAGTTCACAACTTTAATGGAGCCTAAATGGGAGTTAAAGGCACTGCAGACTGCATGACTTGAGTGATGAGTGACTCCACTGGGACTTGAGCTGTATGTGTGTTGATGTGTGCCAAGTCATGCTGTGAGTTGCTGCCTCAGGGTGGTGTGGACCATGTAATGGTGTGGCTCATGGTTTGTGTCCTTTTGTTTGATTTTTGTTTGACTGTGACTCCTTTAGTCAGCTCTGAGCCTAGCAAATCTTGGATGGATGCAGAGGAGAATGGAAACTGGGCTATGAACAATTGCTCTTTCCCCAAGTTGCCCTCCACAGGGACATGGATGCTCCTCTTGGATCCTGTGGCTTGTTAGGGTCTCACCTAGGCTGTCAGAAAGCCATCCAGAATCTAAACATAGAGATGCAGCATTCAAGCTCTGCAAAGCCTGTATTTTAAAATGAAGTAGGAATCATTAGGCCATAAATTTGTTTCTGAAATGATGGCAATGTTAATCTCTCCTTCAGTGTAGGTAGGAGCTGCTATTTCCCTCCCCTCTTTGTTGTGACAAAGTAATGATTATGTCAGAAGTAGATGCATGCAATCTTACAGCTCTGCCTCAGCCCTCTGAGAAGTTTTCCATGATTGCCCTGAGATGTGGTAGCTATGCTTGTGCTTGGTAATCAATGGAGTTACTCTCGTGGGTTGTACTATCTTTTAGGGAACCTCCAACTGTGGAGCTAGGTGCTGTGTGTCCAGTTTGAGATCTTCATTTACTTCATACTGCATATGCTTCAGTGTTGCCCTTGTTTAGCTCTTCCTATTCAGGAGTCGGAGCTACAGGAGACAGTCCAGTGAAGGGCCACTGATATGATTAAAGGACTGAAAAATCTTTCCAGTGAGGAGAGTATGAGGGAGCTGGGACTGTTCAGCCTAGAGAACAGAAAGATTAGGGGAGAGTACATAAACACGTACAAATAGCTGAAGAAAGAATGTAAAGGAGATGGAGGCAGGCTCTTTCCAGTGGTGCCCAGTGACAGGACAAGATGTGGTGGGCACGAACTGAACCACAGGAGGTTTGACATCAGGAAAGACTCTTTACTGTGAGGATGGCTAAGCACTGGCAGAGGTCGTGGAGCCTCCATCCTTTGATATATTCAAAAATGCCTTCTGGATGTGGTCCTGGGCAACTTAGGTGGCCCTGCTTTAGTAGGTGGGAGTTGGACAAAATGACCTTAAGAGGTCTTTTCCAACCTCAACTATTCTGTGGTTCTGTAACCAGGCCTCTAGAAAACTTGTGACCTTCCTCACTTCAGTGGTGAGGAGAGGAAAAAAGGACTATGCCGCTTTCAAAGTACATCCTGATAGGAGAGCAAGGGCAGCTTTCATTTTCAGCTGGTTGAGAGCTGCCAGGAAATAATATGGGTCCACAGATTTGCTGAATTTTAGTGTTCATATTCACTTTGGACCATGGCAATCTCCTCAGTGCCTATGCTGGCTGGATCAGGCTTTTCAAAGCCCATTCAATGTTTCTCTCGCATGAGGATTTCTGCTATAACTCCAGAAGTGTAAACATCCTCCAGGACTTTAAGGACTATAGCTTATCACAGCATCCTTCATATACATTTTTCTCTATATATTCATACATTTTAATATTCCTCTGTTGAAAGAGGATGAACACATCTGCTGCAGTAAGTGTATCTCACGAACACTAAACCTAGCTCACTGAAAGAATTCTGTGGTCTTTTTAGAGCAAGTCCAGATGTAGTTGCAAAAAAGTGCCAACATTTGGACCAGCATAAATCACGAGTGGATTTTTTTCAATTAAAAATTTCCCTATGTCCCCAACCTACCTAAGCTGTGGTATCTGTCAAGCATGCTGTCATCAGTGGTGTGCTTTCAGTCCACCTTCCATTTTCAGCCCTCTTTCTTAAAGACTTAATTGAAGGTGATTTCTGTAGAGCATCCTGGAAAACACTTTCTAATGTACCACTGATTCAAGGTCATATTACTGTATTTGTTCTAACAGCTTTTCATTGTTGTTCCTGCCAAAAGTAGTTCTTTTCTAGTGAGCAGGCCTCTAGTAGCTTCCAGTCTGAAGCAGAGCTTTCAAATGTGTAAGAACCTCCTGATGATTGCTTCAAGTTACTACTTATCATTTATCGTGGAGATGCTTCTCATTCCTGACAGAACACCTATAATGAAATTCTGACTCCTCTTTCTCAAATCTTCCTTGCACTGAAAATCTTTTTACATTCTCACACTCTTGTACTATATAAAGGCCCTGTACATCTGCACCCACCTCTTCCTTTTTCTATGTTTAAAATCTTTTTAGAGCTTAAATGCTCCATTTTGGAGTTCTTTTAGGACACGATCTTGCACCCATGCAGTTGACACACAACTTCTGTGACTTTTAGGGATGCAGGAATGATCTGAATAACTACCAGCTATAGATGTATAGTTAAGTGAGAAAAACATATATAAATACATAGCTGGTGAGAAACATCCACTCTCTTTACCAGGGAGAAAAAAGTGAGATGAAGGGGCTAAGCAAGATGGCATTGTGTGTAAGCCCAAAGAACTAGCTTTGTGGTGTAGCTGCTTTCTCAGAAACATGTACCTAAAATATCAATGTGATACCCAGTTCTGTAATTCATGTTATGTTCTCTACATTTATTTGCAAATACTATTTTAGAAATTTGCTCACTGTAACACCTACTGAAAGAGGCAATAATGTAAAGAATGGAGGTCTGCAGCAATGGGGGTTCTATGGTTTGGGAGTGTGCACAAGGAATCATGCAAGTGCTCTGACGGTGCCTTCATCAATTGGGTCTGAAAGAAATCTTGCAGACTTGCAGAGGCTGCAACTAACTTTTATCAGAAAGCTTTATATTAAGCCTGCAAGTTGTGGTTGGCACATTGCTAAATATTACCCTGGTAGGTTTTTTTCTCTGATTTTAGTGATTGCATTAGGAAATCTGTTAAACTTTATGTAACTGTGTTCTTTGGAGGAAATGGGGAATAACTAGCACTTTCTACTAAAAAAGAGGAAGAGCTGAGTTCATGTTGTGCCACAAAGAATTTAGCAGTTTTGTTGTTATTGTTCTTAAATGGACAATGGTCCATTTCCTTGCAACTTTTACACTAACAACTTCACAACAGGCATATAGCTCAAAGAAAAAGATCTTGGAGTCCCATTTAGGAGTCCCAGTGAGTAGTGCCAGATGTGACCTTTGCTTAACATAAATAGTAAATACTACATGATTATGATGAGCATGAAACCTCCAGCTATATCGAGTCTCCTAAAGTATTTCCAGTCATGGAAAAACTTTAGCATTATGGGAGAGTAAAGAAAAATAAATCAACTCCAAACACCCAAGACTTAGCCACATCCAGCTCTTATAAGCCTTTTTTTTTTCCTTGTAACTTCTGCTACACTTGTCCACATCAGTAAGTGGACCAACAAAACCTATTGCAGAACTATATTCTGTCTCATTTTGGGAGAAGGAGGAAGAGGCAAATTTTGGCCTCCTCAGGGAAGGCAAACAAATTCTGTGTGGAACTATATCTGAACTCAGGTCAGGTCTGGCCAGATATTGGAAATGTTGCCTGTACAACAGGGAAAAAGGAGGACTGCATGAAAAGCTTCAGTTGAAAGGGCTATCTGTTCTTCTGAACCTTTACTAGGCTGCATAGTTAGCCATTCAAAATGTTGTCCTTTCTGCATAGATATTGGGTCAGATTTACAGCTGTGCTAATATGGTGAATTGTGGCTGTGCTGAATTGCCTCAAATTGGTCTTCAGCTCAATTTTGTGTCCTAAAACATGGGTTGGAACCAAATGTCAGCTAATTAAGAAATGCGACATTTTTGGTTTGAACCTTAGTCTGAGAAAGTTCACTTCTTTCCTACTGTGATTTAATTACTAAATAAAAGCAGCTACTGAACAAGAGGATGTGTATTAAAAAGTGTGTGGCAGAGGTCCTTGCACTAACTTAAAGATGCTCCTAAATGAAGATATATAGTATTATTTAAACAATCAACTATGGTGTATATCATAATGTACTTCAATTAGTAGAAACAATCACCTGTCTGTTTAAGATTAAGGGACTTGGAAACCCCAGGAGATTTTGACTTTGGCTGAACGTGTGAATAGAAGTTTGTGCTCAGCTCAGGACTTACTCTATTTCTCCTTAATGTATTCTCTAAAGGATGTTTAGTAATTCATCAGGATAAGGTAGTTTTTCAATAGATCTGTGGGTGGATATTTTTTTTCCCCTTGTAATTCAATACACAATTGAAGAAACCGCAATTAATTTTTTTTGTCTATCTGGCTCACAGGATTTACATAATTGGTTGCTCATGTAGCATTTCTCTATGATTCTTTGTGATTATTTCTATGCTGTGTGAAATGTCTTGGTAATTTTCCAGGGGCTATCTTAGCAGTAGTGCTGTGCATGGTCTTTAAACTCATAGCCCTTGCACATGAATCATTGCAGTGTTGTCAGGTTGGAGATGCAAGCGAATGGAAGGAAAGCAGAGCTGTTGAAACTAACTGGTGCTCTAACAACTCAAACTTCCCTGCAGCTCCACCTGTTTATTTTAAAATCAGCCTAAAGAGATGTTCATGATGTAGGAGGGATTTCAAAATTACCATTTAAGATACATGGATATTGCAGTCCAGAAATGCAACTGTATCTCTTCTGGACATACCATGGCTAGCTTTACACTACCTGCCTTGGGTTGTGGCAGGAGGGACTCTGAGGTGCCCAGGCTTACCTGGGATCAAAGATGCCTGCTTTCTAGGGGCAGCTAACGCCACTGTAAACCAACTAGTGCAAGTCCTCACCAGTTGGCAGTTTGGCTGTCATGAACTGAAATAATCTGACTGCCACACAGGCACGTGTTGAGCAGAAACAAGATGCAAATCATAGATGGTATCAAATAGTATCTTGGTCCAAATTTCTGTACCCAAGCATAATTCCTCTTAAAGTGCGTTAAGAACTGCCTTTGAGGACAGGAAGTGTTACTTGCTCAATAGTGAAGAACATGTTCAGAATGGCTTGTTTGTTTGCTCAGCAATTTCTTTTACAGAACTGGCCTTTATTTTTTTGTCATATTTCTTGCTCACATGGCAATCATGTGGCTATAAATAGGGCTTATGAACCTTTCTGCTGTTGGATGGGGTCACATTAGCACAGGTTTTTTTTTTTATGGACTTGAAATCTCATGCGTGTGCAATATTCTGTGATTAAAAGAAAAGCAAGCGAACAGGTTAGGGCAAAAAGCAGGCTCTGAAATTAAAATGTCTTTGTCCTACTGTGTTTCTGTCATTCGTTAACATGCTATTGAAGTAAATAGAACATTATGACGTATTGGTGTGTTTAACAGCACAGCGTGTGCATCGTGCTTGGAGCATTCAGTAGCCATCAAACACTTAGTGCTACCTAAATTACCTCCTTTTTTCTTTCCACAGAAAACAAGTTTAGAATGACCCGGCTCACAAAGCGTATCTGAGTAGGTTAAGACAGTCTTCCCATTTATGATCAGGTCAAGCTTGACGTACAGTTCCTTGATGCTGTGTCCTATACACAAAGCAGAAGGAGAGCTCAGAGAAAGTGCAAGGGTAAACAGTTTTATTACTTTGTTTTTAAAAAGATTCAGTTTTTTTTCCCCGCTGCTGTTCGAGCCACTGAATGTTTTCTCTTCACTGAGAACTCCTGATATATAGAAATCCATGCTTCAGGAACAGGCCTCTAAATTGCTTAAGGTATAAACAGGGGATATAATAGCATATATCTTTATTATTAAATAAACTATGCCTATGACATTCTTTGACTCTGAGGCCAGCTGGCATAGTAATTTTTTGTGTCCATACATCTAAACTTTCTTTCCTACTGTCCCTAGTACAGGGACCACATCTGATGGGTGTATGGAAACAGCCTGTGGCCTGTACCAGCTGCTTGGGAAAATGGTAGCTGGCTCAAGCCAAACATGTGCCAGGGACCAGCATAGCAGCTTGGCAGTGCTGGGAGGTTGCCTGCTTGTGCCTGGCTTGTGAACATAGATACAGTCAGTGAGACTACTGGATTTAGAGGGAGGTCCTGTACTCTGAGTTGTTGGAAAGGTATTACAAATGCCTGTAATGCGATTTTACAGGCCTGTATAAACTTTGCAGCCACCTGAAAACTGATGCTCGCCAGGCAAAAGGAGGGAGACCTTTTGCGTGCAAAGAAGCATTCCCAAGTGCTAAAAGACACTTGGCACACAAACTTATTTTCAGCACCAGGAGCATTCAGCATTGGTCTCATATTTATGCTCAGGTAGTAGAGGTTCTAAGTGAGCTTGGGGCCAACAAAGTTGCAAGAAGATGGCTTTGCTGTGCAAGAATCACAAAGCAAGCTATGACTAATATTAACTTGTGCACCCAGCCCACGAGCTCAAATGCAGTTCTGCTTTTGACCTTTTCTTGCTGATCAGTCAAGTGCTGAAGAGTATAATTTCAGCTAGCACAGGTGGTGAGCTGATGGCATGACTGTTGCCTCAGGTCAGCACTTCCTCAGCACTCTCCCAGCATGCTTCTCTGCATGCCCAGGGTGGGCAGAGAGGTGCCCCCACCTTGCTTTGTGGGAGTCCCTTTGGTTTCCTGCCTGCAAGGGTCAGCCTTGGCAATTTGGCGAGCGCTGCTGGTGCTGACAAAAGAGTGTTGGTGCTCTAGCTGTCTCATTCAACAAGGCTCTCCCCAGGAGACTTTGTTGTGAAAACAAGCTCTAGAGCAGCCCCCACCTTGGCTATCCATATGTACAAATGAAGCATGTAGAGAGGAATAGGGGCTGAGGGGTGATATGACCCACTTAAGAGACATAGGTAGTCTGAAGCTGGGCTGATAACAGAACTGATATTTTTGTAGCCCTGCACAGGTTTTGAAATTTCTCAGAAGTGAAGCCCATTCATATTTCATAGGAGGTTGTCACCCTTGCTTACTTCTTAATAGCAGCACTCACACATTAATTACCTGTTCAAAGAATAAGAAAATAGCACTTCACTTACTTAGGACCATTGCAGCTCTGATGTTAAAGGTGTGGGTTGTGATATCAGAGCAATGGTCAATGCTGAAAGCAAAATCTTGCTGGGGATCTGTTTGGAGACAGAAAGCAGTGGTTAACTATTTTTATTTTTAATGATATACCGACTGTATAGAAGAAAACAATAAAATATAAAAGTGTTATAAAAAGCAGTTTACATATTCCTTAAATTCTCCAAGATGTGCTCAAAGCTCCCATACCCTGTGTTTAATAGCTACTTCTGTTCTTCCTGCCACTTCAATCTGAAGCGCATTTAGATGATAGCCTATATGTGGCTAAAACCTACTGTGTCGGAAAATGAGCCAAGTTCAGGGAAAGCAAGTTCCCCACAGCTGTCAATACTCATTCAACAGTGAAGTTGTAGCACAGCTGCTCTTCCCAGGATTTGTGCATTACCATTCCCTCCTCAGCACTGATGAGCCATTGGTTACGATGGTGTTTTTTAACTCATTTATATCACAAGATGGCTTGGTAAGGCTGATTAGGAAACTGAATCCTGAAGTGGGATGAAAAGTCCAAAAATGGAAATAAAATTGTGTAACTGAGATCTTGCAGTATTTCATGCCGAGTCCACTATTGTGTGATATTTCTAACCCAGGAAATACTCTACACTTCTCCCTCTCTGGGAGACATTAGCAGAGCTGGGGTCAAAGGGAGCCCTACAGTTGATGACTGACATGAACGTGGTTCTTGCCAGTTCCTGCAGTTCCTTTCTCTGCATCAAGCCCCAAAGTCTTGTACAAACTTAATCGCTTTTTCCCTGCTTCCACCTTCTTCCTTGCTAGCCTCCATGAGACTCCACGCTGTGCCTGAAGTCTTGCCAACATGCCACGCTCTGGTGACAGCCGGCAGCAACAACTGACAGCTCAGCTGCCACAACCAACAGCACATGGAAGTGTTTTCCAGAGCCGTGGCTGGAGGTGGAAGATTTGGCCAGTTTGGAAACATATCATCTTGAGCCTCAAGGCTTGCTTTAGTCATAGGTTTGTCCCTCATAGTGGCTTTCCAGCCAGCCTGTGCATCTAACTTCCTTCTCTGTGGAAATCAGAGAAGTGACTGTGGCATGTGCAGAAGCAGCTGTAGGCTCCCTGGTTTACATAGAGCTGGTGGTGACAAATATAGACTTAGGAATTGAATTATGTTTCTAAGTTATTGTTGCTTGAGGTAACCTTCTTGCTGAATTGAAAATAACAGGTTGGGAGAATTCTCCTTTGCTGTGGTGAAACTTGAGTCACAAGTGTACTCTGTGAGGCTGAGCTAGCATCTCCATAGTCTGACTCTATTTTTGCAGCAGTGCCTCATAGCTGTAACAGCTAGCAGGGAGCAAGCCTGGGTGACCAAAGACTGATTGCATAGAGGGGAGCATGAAATGAATGAAGTGCTGGGAGGAGCTGGGGGCTCTAACTAAGCCAGGCTCTGCAAGTACATGGATTGTCAGTGTGGTCCAAAAGGAGCTCCTGAGTTCTAAGTTCTGGTAAATTAAAAGATCTGTTAAAGAGGGGAGATAAATGACACTGGTATTTCCCACAGCTTTATGTCCCTGGGCTGGATTTTATCCTCCACACCACTAAAGCAGTCTCTGATCGAGACAAAAAGTTAGTTCCTGGAGTTGTTTATCAGCTCAAGCATGACACAGAGTCAGAGGGCTGTATTTCTTCTCTTCCCATATTTCTGTCAGTTCTCGCTTTGTTATTGCAGCCTCAGAAGCTGTTGCAATCAGGTAGGAGAGCAGTTTCCTGCTCCAGGCGGAAAGCATGTCAAACTTCTCTTTTCTCCAGGACCGTTATGTCTGCTTCCCCTCTGGTCTCTACCACCTCTCAGGCCTTGGTTTCCGCTTTGCTCTGGACTTCTGCAAGAATGCCTCTCATTTCTGTTTTTCACGTGGTGTGATAATAAGGCTCAGGAAGCAGCCGCTGAGATTCAGAGCAACTTGGGAATTGATGCCGACAAACAGTGCTGTTGTCATATGACTAAGATTGTCAGCCCTGTAATTTCCAGAGCAAGATATGGTCAAAAATGGCACTGCAACCTATACAATGCTCTTCTCTTTTCAGAGAGACTAGACTGTGCTTTAGTCAACAAATTAAACCATGGTATTAAGGCTAGAAGCTGATTTTTTAGTTCAAAATTTCTCATCAATAACTGTTTGGATGGAAAGGTGATGTTCATGAAACCAAGCTTCGATGGAAAGCATAGGCTTCTTATAACGAACCTGCCCTCAGGGTTCTTTTAGTTTGGATATCTCATGTCTTTTTTTTTTTTTTTTTTTTTGGTGTGGGGTTGTGTTTGGTTTTGAGTTTGTTTGTTCTTTCCTATGGGTTGAGCACTCTTGCCAGATGATATATTTCATGGTGCATTGTAGCCATGGTTGTCTTCTACTGCACCACTACTGGTACAACATAGGACTCTGGTGTATCCAGAGAAGTGTTGTCTGGTCCCCAGACAGGAAGAAAACATGGAAGCACTCACACAAGAAATTCCAGCAAAAATTGCGGTTTAGAGCATTTGGGTTTTTTGGTGTTAGTCCATTGCTGAGAAATGCAAACTTTTCCACTGGGAAAAGAAACCCCAATTAATTTTCTCACCATCTCCCTGTGGAAATTCAGGCTATGATTTTGCAGTCCAGCATCTTAGATGTTGTGGTGTATGTGGGG